TTTTTTTATTAAATAACATTTGTTCAGCAATACATCAGTTCTCAAGTGTAAATATGTGCTTTTATATCTGTTTACAACATGATGTTAGAAACTGTTACACCATAGAGTAATAAAGCTTACACATTCAATTGAAGTAAAACACTTTGGTATGCTCTTATGACTTTGTACTCTTTTCTATCTATTAGACTGTCACACTATAGTCCAACTTTGTTTCACAGGTTTTTTTCACTCTTTTTAACAAAAGTATAAACTAAAGTGTAATAATTATTATGAATAAAGTATAGAATTTCTGTAAAATACCACATATTTAACGGACTAAGAACAACTTCTTTTGAACAAAAGTACTTCAACTTAATAAGAGATTGTCTCACCTCTTGTTTGTCTTGTTTTCTTCGTCTTTGAAGCGAAAATAGTCGTTGTCTTGTCTCTTTTTGGGGATTGAATACGGTAGGAATAGAACCAGGCTTGAGAGTTCTTTTCTCTTTTTGGCCCATTAAATGCTTAAACGATTTGTCGAAGCAGTCACTCGAAAAGTGTTCGCTACAAACGTAGCAGGACTCTGGTTTTGGTGGATTTTTTCTTTTTACTTTTTCAATCCAAATTTTTGCAATTTTTTTGTCTTTTGGGAGTCTATGAAATGATACATCTCTTCCCTTGACTGTTTTTGATCCATTATGACAGCCAGGCACCATGCAATAAGGCATATTTTTTAACAAGATTGGTAAAAATTGTAAAGAAAGCCGTGTCGCCGAGTGTTTTTATTGAATTTGGCGCGAAATGCAAAGTGCAGACCCCGCAGTGACGTCATAACTCCTTTTGAATTGACTTCTGGGAAATTCAAAATGGCGATCGCCAGGGTCGGATTTATCGTGTTTTCCGTAAATTGTTTCTCTGTTGCACTTGATGCTATGGACTTAAGACTTTACAAAAAAGATAAGTATATGATAAACTTTTTATTGAATAAGCAATGGTTCAAGAGCGGAGTTCTCCTTTAAGGTCTATTTTCATTCAAGGAAAAAATTGAAACAATTGAAGAAGTGCATGTTATAAAGAAAGAAATAGACCTTATTAACCTCAACAATTTATCAACATTGATTTCCTACAGTTTGTTCAACTCGACCTTTTCTCTTTTTAAAAATGGTCATACGTTTTAGGGTCTGGAATCGATACCTGAATTACTTTACACGTACCTTTTAGGGTCATTTTTCAATCCGTCTGTCTAGCATACCTTTTATATACACCCCAGTGCACACTTATCGTTTTTCAAACAAGCTTTCGCTTCAAGTTAATTGCAAACTTCAAGTTAACTTTCGTTCCCTCCTTTTTCAGGTGCTTAATGATGTGCCACTAGTTAGAGTGAACCAGCTGCCTTTCGACATTGATGGGGTATGCAAATTTTGATGGCGTTTGATGGCTTCTACCAAAGATGGGAGGCCATGGAAACCGTGGTGTACGTCTAATAGATCTGCACACAAAGGTGTGCGGCGAAGAACCACGTGCAAAGGCTCCTGGAAGTGTAACAACGACAGAGGCGCTTTTTTAAAGAATGGAAAAGCTAACACTGTACAATTCATCACCAAAAAGGACCAAACATTGCGTAGTTACTAAAACACGGAACGAGCCAAAATTAACCATCAAAAACAAGCCAAAACCACCCAAAACGAGCCAAAACCACCCAAACCTAGCCAAAACCACCCAAAACCAGCCAAAACGACTGCAAAACTAGAACATAGTAGTGACATTTCTGCTTCCGTGTCTGATATCGAAGTTTACGATGTATTCTAGTATGGCGGGCTAAATGTGCATGGAAAAATCGCGAAGTTTGCAGCGTATTCATATTATTATTTGACTCTAAACAAAATTATAGTAATCTAAAATCGAGATCTTATATAATTACTTTAAAATTTCAGAATACATGCAATGTCCGTATGAATAGAAAACAAACTCGGCTTAAGGTACCGTATGAATAGCCATTTGCCATCTGCGTTGTTTGGCAGTTTTTTTGGCGGTTTTGGTTAGATTTGGGTGGTTTTGTCTCGTTTTGGGTGGTTTTGGCTTGTTCCATGTTTTAGTAACTACGCAAACATTGTACTTTATCTGTGAAAATGAAGCCACAAAAACAGAATGCAGTGCTGTAAAGATTTGGGAGTTTTCTGAAGGTAAAGATAGTATTACTGTATTCCATTACGGCCTTCATAAATGTACAGCTGTGCCCAGGAAGCAGAACAAGGCAATTGAGAACGATATTAAAGATGTATTCATGAAAAATGCCACTCTCAAGCCATCTAAAGCAACTGTCAATTTGTTACTCTCTGCCATTAAAGGCCAGGACTGGCAAGAAATCGAACGGGTGGCAGATACCGTCGCAGATGGTCAACGCATTGCCGCAATAAAAAGATAGACTAAAGCAAGTAATCCAGGTCATTCGTTTGACGCCCTAACAAGCTTTTTAACAATCTTTCTGTGTGTAGCGAGACGAGTTTTACGTATACAAGATGAACAACGAGGAACAGAACGGAGAAATGTCGTACGTATTTTTAAATACGTTTAAAAATGTTCCTCAATCCAAGCCCAGCTAGCTTTGAGTATGGACTATGAAGGTGACGGTGTACTTAAAGAACAATACTGTTACGCCGATGATAAACATAACAGGTGTATAGGCTTCAAAACTTTGGCACTGTGGGTGTTCCACCCAGTGTTGCGTT